AACCCATGTTGATATTGTTGAACTAGATTCAAAATGTGTCGTTAATAATACTCTTCTTTAGGTTTTGCTGGGTTTGCTATTTTAACAGTCTTTTCTCCTCCTCCCCACCCCCCTTCCTCCCTGCATAACTGTGGAAAATCCAACATCCCATTGTTAACCTAAGACAGTTTGAAAAGTATGATACAAGGAATAAAGAAGTAGTAAGAAGTTTGGATTAAAAAGGAGAGGAGAGAAGCAGAAAATCTTGATTAGAAAGTATAATTTAATAGAACATGTATTGAACCAAATGTATTGATTAATGTAGAAGATATAGTACTTATATTGATTCAAACTAGAGATTTAGTACTAAAAGCTGTAAGCCAAAAAGCTGTTGCAGATTGCTACAAAAGTCAGTTTAATGCTGTCCTTGAGAATGCCTTCACAAAGAAATTCTTCTAATGTTTGAGGAGTAGGTAGAATGCGGTATATGTCAGTTTGATCCCGGAGGGTTTTATTTTGTACTCTAATAGCTGTTACGAGCCTACATTATATCCAAGGAGTAATTTTCCTTAGGGGTGCCCAGCTCGCTTTGTGTCAATATTCTAGCATTTTAAGTCACGTACAGTATATGCTTCTGGGAACAGTGCAGGAGCCAGCCAGACTCATAATGGTCTGCATTCATTAATAAAGGCAGAAGCTTCAGTCCCTCTATTGCCCACTACAGGGATGCCTCCCTGGTCTTCAGGGACCCGTACAGACACATTTAAAGAAAGCTTTATTTTGAGTGGGCAGGAGATGAAATGTAGGACTTGCAGGCATTTCCTAAGTCAGCTATATGCCCAAGCACAGGGGTGACCTTAATGGGTCAAAGAAGAATGCAGGTCAAAAGACTTATTATCCAGCCGGTTGGAAACCAATTGCTTTTGTTAAAAAAAAATGTAGTGCTTAAAGGTTCATGGTAATGTAGAGTTCTGTTTTACAACCTGAAACTGTATCATAGTGCAATGGGGTTTAAAAAAAACAAAGATTATTTTTAATGTGTGCAGATAAAGGATTCCACACAAATGATAACATGTAGGGTCCCATAATTAGTTAATCAGTGGTGATTGATTACTGATGTTTGTGTTCTTGAACTAAGGAAAAAATAACATGCTGCCGTGGTACTGTCACCATCTGTTGAAAGAATACGTCCACATTTCATCTCTATATTTCTTTATTTGTACCCTCCATGCACTGCGTCTCAGGTATGATTGTGTCCTATTTCATCTAGTTAAAAAAAGTCTCATTTTAATTGAATGCAACTGGAGTTTATATTAGAGATTCTAACGGGATAGCAATCAGTGAATATTTTTCCTTCCTTATATTTGATGCAGTGCATGGTATTTTTTTCAAGCTTACGCATCTTGTCTCTTTGAGATAAATAGAGATAAATATAGAAAGGCAACAAGTAACAGGAAATTATTATTACTTTCTACTGTCTCAACCATTTTTGCAGAACAACCCAATTCTCTTTGTAGAAGAGATTTCTCCAGTTAGTGTTGTACTGAAATCTGGGTATGATTTTAACTCTGTCACCTTAAGTACAGGGATTTCCCAAGGCTTTTTGCTCATGGAAAGTGGTGTAGTCTAATGGTTTAAAGCAGCTCACTGGAAGTTAGGATTCTGGGTTTATATCACTGGTTCTGCTAGAGAAATCTCAATCTCTAGAAACAGCATAAATACGTTTTGAAAGTGTTTTTCTTTGTGAAATATGTTGAAGCCAAGTTCTCTCTGACTAAATAGCTATTTCCAGAGTAAGATAGAGCTAGGGAAATAAGTATTTTTTTACAGGTTTCCTAGTTTTTTGTTTGCTTGCTTTATTTACTTATTTATTTTGTGGGAAACAAATGCAGTGGCAAAATGACGTTTTTTTCCACCATGTCTGTATTTTGTATGTGCATAGCCTGGACTTGTGTGCACAACATAGATTTTCATCCTAAAATCAGAGGGGGGTTTTAAATTGCCCCATCCCCACTGGTTAGGCATGTACAGAATATTTTTCTCTTTCCGTTGTTGAATACAAAATCAAAATTTTTGTTTCACAGAGGGACTGTATCTCTTACCTGACAAAAAAAATTGTATCTGTACTGTGCTGAGAGGGGGGATATTAGTATGTGTAGTCTTCAACACTTTACTTGAGTTATAGACATGCAGCAAAGAAAAAAAAATCCCCTCCCCCACACACAACCAGTTGCTCCAAAATCAGGAAAGATATTTAAGAGTTTCTGAAAGATATATTTTTTAAAATTTCTGCTCTTAAATGTGGTGTATCAGTTGTTACAGGCCAATTCTGCTCTCACAGCCACATAGCTGTTCTTAGCGCTAACATTGGGCTCTCCCTGAGTGCACAGAGCTGCCACGTTTATGTCCATGGGAACTCCACGTTGTTTTTCTACATGGGCAAACTTTCACTGTCATGGAAGTAGGAGCTCTGTACACAATAGGGATTGCAGAATATCAGATTCAGGATCTGCTGGGTGGTTAATAGAGAAGAGTTTTGCCCTAAATTTTTAAACACAGCACCCCTCATAAAAGCAACAACAGTTCATAACTGGGATTAATGTTTGCAATTTTCAGTCACTTAGCCATGGGGTCTCCAATAGATGGCTTTTTGTAGAGTGGAATATGGCTCTCTGTGGGATTACAGATTTTTCCTCCTTTTCTGATCTCTCCTCTCCCATCCTTTGTCCACTTGTCTGGTCAATGTTATGGCCCTGATGTGCTTTCACTTTTAGTTTATGAAACTGAGCAGGTATTTCTCCCTAACTTACGGTTGTCTAAAAACACCTTTGGGGAGCACTGCTTGTTCTAGGAAACCTGAGCAATGCCATCCTGTTGTAATTGTTTAAAAAAAGTACCATTGCATGATTAAGGCCTAAGCTCCATAAACTCTTTGCATTGAGTTTCTTCAGGTCCTGCCCTATTCAGCCTTTTTCTCCACTATCCTTTTTTTTTCTTAATTATCTCTTCGTTATCCCTGAAGAATCTCATTTTGCATCAGGCACTATGGTCTGGACCACTGAGTGCAAGGGTGAGCAGGTCCTCATTCTGTGATTTGTTTTCTCTCTTTCACTTTTGTGCCTTTTTATTTTTTAATAAAAAATATCACTGCAGCAGCAGCACTAAGTACACATACAGAGCACCTTTCAATTGTTTCACATACTGCTGCACAGCTCTTCCAGACTCCAAACTGATTATGTGTAGCTCAGTCAAAAAAAGCAGGGACAACTGACATGCATTTACTTTTGAGTAGATTCAAACATAAAGACACCCCAATTCCTTGTTCAAAATAGCAATTTGCCTTTGACTTTAAGTACTCAAAACCAGGGGCCATCAGAATTCTGACTGTCACCCCATATTCAACTTGTCCCTTTGTTTCTGGAGACTGCAGGGTCTCAAATCCGTCTGTGGGTTATATGCCGCAAGTGCAGCAATAATGGACACAATAGGATGACAAAAAGGTAGACTGTCAGATTTAACTCTTAATTTCCTTGCTCTTGTGGTTTAAAGTCAGAGCCCATTACCTGTGACTGGCCAACATTTTAGTCTGCAGTGTATTGTTCCAGCTTTACAGTATTTTGAAATGAGCTTTTGAAAAAGATGCTATATGAAATCAAATGGCATGATATGTATGTATTATATCAAATATATAAGTTATTATGCCATTTTATATATTTATTTATTTATTTAACTCTTCAGCCTTGGAAGATCTGAAATGCCTGCCACCAGCATTAAATCATTTTGCATTCACATCTGGAAATCATGTCTTCAAGTGTCAATGGGTCATTTTTCTTTTCATCTTGAGAATGGCACTACTTTAAAAATTCCTGCCTTACTCTGTGAGCCTTTTCTGGCCAAATGTCCCATGAACTATTGCATGTACACATATGCAGCTTTATATTTGTCTAAGGCTGTTAGATAAGCATAGAATCAGACTGTATTTCACATTTGTTTTGCTGTGGCTGTTTTTATGTTTATATTCATGGGTGGCTCTTAAGCGTATGGTTCAGTAGGTGTTCGCTTCACTGAAAATGATGGCTATCTTTTGGGAATAGGTTTATTTTAAAGTGCTTTTGTCCAGAAGAGTTTGAATTAAAACTGATAAAATGAACGGACTGTACAGTTTAGAAACTGATAATGGGGCACAACTGGTTTCACCTCAGGGTTGCCAGTTCAAATCTGGCCTGCATTGGTGATTGCAAAGTCATTACCCTCTGGTGTCTATTCTGTTTTCTCTGAACTGAGATTGCAGGCTTTGTCCAGTTTTCTGTGGATACTGTTAATGTTGCAGAAGACCTAGCATTCACTGGGAACCTTCTCTTATTTGGACAATAATGAGTATGAGTAAGCAGAGAAGGTGAAGTGCCATCTCACCCCAAGAAACATCAGTCTCTGAACCAATATCACCTTACACAAGGCAGTACATTCACTTAAGGATATGAGAGTTTGAATTGTTGTTTGATAAATCAAAGAATCTTTCTGGCTTCCCCTTCACAATTTTTGCTCAGCCAAGTGAACATTACAGTGCCCTTTCGACTTTAAAATACTCTGTCGCTGATCATGTTTGATTGCATGTTCTAGCAAGGAAGTTAAAATTAGCATATTTCTGGTTTGTTGGCATTACAGCAAGTAAGGGAAAGAAACGTTTGGCTTATTATGCATTACAGGCTAAATTCAACAGCATGGGAGTGGGCACTGTGGTTAGTGAACTTGCATTCACTTCCACCAGAGCATATTTGACCTAATGGACTTTAAGGCATTCCAGTGCCATTCTCATGACTTATGAAATAAAACCAGTGCAAAAATGTGAACAGAGAGCTCTCTTCCGTTAACATCAAAGTTTATTTAGGCCATTTTACAGAGATGGCAAATATGTTGTCCTCATGGACGTTATTCTGTATACTGTAAGTAGAATTTTTAGTACAGCTGCATGTAGCAATGCCTATCCTATAACTAAGCTCTCTTTTCTGTTTTTATTCCAGAATCATACGATGACCCAACATAGCAGTTAGTGCAAGGCCCATCTCTTCAGGAGAATTCTTTGTGGCACAAAAAGGGAACACATTTTACTCTTTGCACGAAACTTTCATTGTTAATGTATATTATTCAGAAACATTGTATTGTACCATAAAACTTGTATTATCGAAACTGTTGGATGTTCATGTGTTTGAACTTTTGAGCACCGGATAGGCTTCCTGTATATAAAGTGTTGCACATGTATTATGTTGTCTGATACTAAAATGGTCTTATAAAGACAAGTGGACTTGGGCCCTATTCAAGAAAGATAAAAATAATAATAATACTGTGTGAGGAAAAAAAGGCTTAAGAAAATGTGTCATTTTTGAAGAAGAGGGAGAAAAAAATTAACTGTTACCTTACAGCTCTGTTTGGCCTTCCTTTCATTTAAACTTAAGTCTAAAATATCTCTCTTTTGGTATACGAACAGATGAATCCAAGACTATTTTTTATTGCTGAAGAGTCTTGCAAAAAATATGAAAAGGCTTTCTCACAGAGCAAGACCCTACCATTGAATAAGGCCCGTATATATATTTGTAAGCCTTGCGATATGACAGATAGCATTACCATATATGCAATAGTTGTTATGTAGATTGTCAAAGAAACTTTTTTTTTTCCTGGATACCATTTGAAGCTTTGAGTGTTCAAGACTTTCCTTAATGATTTCACACAGCCAAATTCTTGAATCAGTTGAACTAACCTGTATGTTACTGTTATTAATGTTTACTCTGCGGTCTGAACCTGGAGATTACTGGAATTGTTTTCCAAGAGGAAATAAATTCAGTTTACCATTATGTGTGTGTTGTGTCTTATCTTTTTCCTATTTCAGTGCCATTATTATTAACATTCATTGTGTTTATTGTGGTCACTTCTAAGGGTCAGCCACATTTCCATTTTACCAGGAAGTATACAAATGCAGAGGCAGCAGATGGTCCCTACCCCAATACCCTTCCATTTTAAATAGAAAAGACATTAGAATCGTAGAAAAGTAGGGCTTGAAAGGACCTCAGGTACTCATCTAGGATTGTAGGAAAGTAAGGACTGGAAGGGACCTCACAAAGTCATCTAGTCCAGCAGCCTGCTCAAGGCAGGACCACTCCTGACTAAACCATCCCAGCCAATGGCTATGTCTAACCGCTCTTAAGAACATACAGGGGTATAGAGTCCACAATTTCTATAGGTAGTCTCTTCCAAAGCTTGATCACCCTCACAGTCAGAACATTCCTCCTAATTTCCAAACTAAATTTCCCATCCTGAAGCTTGAGGCCATTGTTTTTAGTCCTGTCTCTTATGGCCCAAAGGAAAGCCCATCTCCATCCCCTCTGTAATTGCCTTTCAGGTATTTGAAGATGATTATCAAACCCTGCATTAGTCTTCTTTTGTCCAGACTTGGTTCTTTTTAGCCTTTCCTCAAACACTTGTCAAGGCAGGATTCTCCCTGTCTCTCTCTCATACAAGTGTTTGACTAATCAGTCCTTAAAACTGCATGAACTGTCATACAACTACCAGGTCTAACAACCAAAACCATCAAAAACACCCTCATCTGAAAGGGTGAGAACACCCTTGCCACAGCTAAAGCAAGATGAGAACACTTACAGCATCCTGCCAGAAGCAGTTCTTAAAATCCACTTGAGATATCCAAACTCATTTGCTGCTTTCACTGCTAGTGGGTCACCATACATCTGAATTGCCAAATTATTTTCATATTTCAGTTCCGGTGAAATCCATCATAGACATCTTCCAGCTTTGGGGGCTAGAGGCAGGAGAGAAGACTTAGAATCAGGAACCTCCTCAGTTCTTATCCCAGCTCTGACAATGACTCTGTTAACCTCATGTCCCTTAACTTCTGTGCTGGGATAGACGGCAGAAGGCAGTGTGGCTAAAGTATGCTACTTATATGATGCTCTCCACTGACAAAATAGTCCTTGTGGGGTTATAATGAGATAGTGCAACTTAAAGCAACCTTGCTGGGGGCTGGATTGCCCCCTAGATGCCTTCAATACTGAGAGGAAAGGAAAAGTAATATAAAGCCATTGTTGCCCACCAGTGTGCCAAGCACTGTTCAAACTCACCTGAGGGCTAATGCCAAAGGCATTCTTTAGATGTTTTGGCATCGCCTATCCTATTGCTTAAGTTGCTGGATTCATCCTATTGAAACTAGCATTGCTGAAATACTGCAGTTTTAGAATTGCACATCACAACAGTCCAAATGGCTGGAGCTGCTTGCCTATTGCTGTCAGGGTAGATATAAAGTGTGATTTCCACTTTGCTGAATGTCACATTTTGACTCTCCACAGATGGAGGGTGGAGGGGATAGAAGTAAAGTATGAAAGTCTCTGGTTGCCAGATATTTCAAGGAAAATGTGTCACGTTTAAAACTCCAGCCTCAAGAATTTTATGCATATAATGCTGAGTACAAAAAAAAAGAAATTTTATATGAAAATCTCATTTATGCTGACAAAAGGATAAACAAAGGCAACAGTACACAAGGCTTGTAAAATGCCAGATCTATTTATAAGTCAGAAACTGTTCCCATTTTTATTCTCATTAATATATTACTCATCTCAGCCAAATTGGATGTGATGATATGTTCTTTATTCCTGACAGATACCTTAAAGGATAGAAGACATTTCAGCCTTCATGTGTGAAAGTGTGACATATTGGTTGAGACTGAAAATAGCATGTTTCTCATAGAGTTCAAGTATATAAGAAATATTACACCCTACTGTTTTTGTAAATGCCAGAGTGCCACTGAGTTGAGACAGATGGTAGCTGGGAAAGATGCAATCTTATAATCAAAAGCTAAAATATGTCAAAAATATGTTAGCAAGCAAAACATAGCATATTACTAGCTTCTCATGTCATGACAGCTTGCAAAACATGCAAAGATGTTGAATTTCTAGTTATGTAAATAAAGTAACAGTAAACAGAGCAGCAGCAAATGTGATGAAGGTTTTATGCATTGATTGTCCCTTCGGTTTAGTGCCAAGGAATAGGAAGGTCTTATGGTCACATTCGGCCCCAGATGGATTCTAAGAGCTGGTTGCTAGTATCAAGTGCTGGAATCCTCTTACCTTTTTGTGAGTAACAGGTTTCTTAGTGATACCTAAAAAGCCATTTAAATAGATTATGGAAGACATCTAAACTTCCCAGTGAGAGTTGACTGTTCCACTGGGAGTTATCACAGCATTTAGAAAAACAACAAGAGACACATATTGCCTTGCTCAATACAAAAATACACAAGGTATGTCTGTGTGTGTGTGTGTGTGTGTGTGTGTGTGAGAGAGAGAGA